TTTCAAACACAAACATAGACACACACACACACTCACACACACATACACACACATATACACACACACGCACGCACGCACGCATGTACACACACGCACACACAAACACACACACATTCACACATGCACACACACACACACACACACACACACACACACACACACACACACACAAACATGGGAACACACTGAACGCAGTCATAATATCGAGACTAATACATATTCGTTAACGTTCGACTGTAACCACAAACCTATTCACTGTCTATTTCATATGACAGAAACCTTAAACGCTCCTCTATGCAACGGTTTAAAACAATATAGGTAAGGGGGTGGGGGTGGGCAAACCATGGCCCGAGGACAATACGCTCTTATACTATCTGTATCTTGTCCAATCTACATCTTGTACTATCTGTATCTTGTACTATCTACATCTTGTACTATCTACATCTTGTACTATCTGTATCTTGTACTCTCTGTATCTTGTACTATCTGTATCTTGTCCAATCTACATCTTATACTATCTGTATCTTGTCCAATCTGCATCTTATACTATCTGTATCTTGTACTATCTACATCTTATACTATCTGTATCTTGTACTATCTGTATCTTGTACTATCTGTATCTTGCACTACTTACATCCAGAACTATACGCATGTTATACTCTGAGCGTCTAGCTCGACGGCCAATAAAGGATCGTGGTGTTTTGTGTGTTCCACGAAAACGTTCCTCAAATTTTTTTAATGATCGTAAACGTTTTACATTAACCAAAATACACCTCTTTTCAAACTATTATAGAGGACCCTAAGACCCTGACCCAACACACTTAAAGACATTGTGAAAAACACATCTTCCCACCGAGTTCTTCATACTGACTATAACCTTAAACCTTGACCGTAGACCTAATCAAACACTCTTTATAAAGCGTCCTCGATTACAGTACCGACAATCCTAAAGTCTACTTTTTTTTGGTAAGTGTTTTAGGCACAAGGTCATATGAGCGCCCGGAACACACTAAACATTAAAATTTTAAGTTTAGTGGGAATTTTGAATTTCATGTGGGTGGCGGCCGAAGCCTATTCTCATCGAATTTAGGATCACAGGGGATCTATAACGTGCTCAACTTGCACACGGGACCTCCGAGATTCTTCTCCCTTATCCGAGGAGGATAAGATCAGGGATGTAAAGATATCAGTAAGAAGGAGCAAAGGAGTAGCAGTAGAATGGATGCAGAAAGAGTCAGGGGCCCAGAGGAGGGGCAAAGGGGAGTGAGGAGTCAGCAGAGAGTGGAGACGGAAGCAAGCGATAGAACATGGTTAGTAGACAGCAGGAAAGGGCACGTTAAAGAACGTTTTAAAGAAGAAATGTATTTTCCTTTGTTGTGAGGTTTCGAATTCTGGACCTATTGAATAAGAGGCAAACACAGTTACCTCTATACCACGAGAGCGCCTATCCTTAAGTCTGCTCTTGATTGTAACCACGCGCTACTATAAAGGCTACTCCAACTTTCTCGCCTTTAAGTCCCCCTCCAAACAATGTCCCCCTATGCTCGATGCACATGATCCAACAAGTCTTCCCTATCGCAACCTTAGAGAAACAAAGTTTCGCCTGACATGTTTGGCAGATTTGAGTTACTAAACCATAAGGTCGGAAACCAAATGTTACGCCTTCTTTACCAAAATCGTGAGGTTATTCCTGGTCGTTATCAAGATATTCAAAGAATTTTATGTGAAACTATTTGACGTGTTGTGAAACTCAAAATAAGTCATGTCAAATTTCTCAAAACTAGGTAGTGAGCAGATAGAGCTTCGTTATGCTAGGATAGCGTAAGATTGGGAACCATAAGCCAGAGCTCGTTTTTTGGGATCATTCCCCAAAAACAAAAGCTGTGCTTTCCCTCTTGATCTGAGGCCATACTTATCAACCGAAATGATTTCCTGGCACATCAAAGCCGTCTGTGGAGAGAAATAATTATAATAGTTAAAAGAAGAAGAAGAAGAAGAAGAAGAAGAAGAAGAAGAAGAAGAAGAAGAAGAAATACTTTTATATAGCATATATCCACGCTCTACAGCATCCTCTAAGCATTTAACAACAATCATTACCCCAGCAGCAGACTAGAGAACACTCAGAAACATTCTCGGGTAAATCTGTCCTGAGACTGTTACGTCACACATGAATAATTTGGAACTGCTTCTTTAGCTGTCAGGTTTAGAGCAGACATTGACGATCATAGTAATCCATTCCTTTTTGTTGTCTGCCTTTTTTTGTCCTTTTTGCAAACAAAAGCAGCTTTTTTGCGCCTAACATTTCCCAAGTCATTGAGGTTTTGAGAGGCTGCTGCGGCTTCATTGCGAGGGCTTGTTTTTGTGTCAAATACAGGGGGAACCAAAAACAACTGTACAACTTTTTTTTTCTAAATATCTGGCACAAAAAAACACAAATTATACTAGAATGTTATAGTTTGGAACAGATATGATTCATTCAAAAAGAATTTGTTCGATGTAAAACCGACCAAGAAGAAACTTATTTTCGAAAACGAAAGCGGCGTTTATAAAAACAACCTATGAATGCGAAATGCACCAATTTAAAAGATCTTATAAGAAAATCATGAAATGATTGGTTTGTTTTTTCCTTTCCTTTAATTTTCAAAATCCAATCTTTCAATCCCTGCAACCTTTAAATAATATTTCTTTTTTCCCACAGAGTTAAAATAATATTGTTTAAATTCTGGAATTCCGAGAACCAATGTTTTATATGTCCTCCTTTGGACTCTACACCTTTTAACGCGTCGTTCATAATGCTCAGTGGTGCCAAACACAAGAATCCACTCAACTATGAGTACTCAAAGCCACACATACTGTACACCTTACAGTATGGAGCTGTTTCCAGAGACAATAATATAAGGGGAAAGGGGGGGGGGTTGAATCGAGGTTGCCCAAATAGACAGCATTTGTGGGTTGATATATCATGACCTGAAATGTACGTACGGGTTTTGCCAAGGAACAGAATGTCATAGAGGAGATGTTCACGCCTTTGAAGACAATCGAGGTATCATGAACACTTTGCTGTCCACTGATAGCTTTGCGAACGAGAAAATGGTACAGTCAAAGATGAAGATCTGCCTTGAGAATGCGGATTGTTGAAATGTAGGGATGTCATTGCTGCAGACAACGTCTACAGACAGATATCTCAAAGGGCTCTTCTACTGAATTCTGCTCCTTGGTGACTTTTAAAGGAGTGCGAACGATGTGTATTTGACATGAAGTGGTCGTTATTTCTGGTTATGTTTAGTTCTGACTCTCTACATGTCCTAAGTGATGGACCATTTCCACCTTTGATATCAAAGAAGGCCTTAAATGAAACCTTAACATTATTTCCGTACCCTGGGCGAAACTTACTAAAGGAGTTGGTGATGAAGAAATGTTCAATATAAAAAGCTCTCTTCTCTTTGCTAATCTTAACCATAATCTCAGCAGGCAAAGGAAACTTGAGGGAAATGTTCTGCAAACCTCTGCTGGCGTGCTAGACTACTGTAGTTTGCAATACGGCCTTATCGTTGGGATTTTTAGTGATAGGCCTAATGCGGAATAATGCGGCATGCTGCAAAAATGGGGATATAGCAGAAAATAGGTTGTTTTTGTAGGCGCCACGTAGAGTAAATCTATTTGGTGGATTTATCTAAAATGAATATCAGTCAACTTTTTTACTTCCAAATGTTGTGTACAAATTTGAAATGAAAAACTTTAGTGTAGAGGAAAATATTAACAAACAAAAAAGTTGTACCGTTTTTTTTTCTTCTTGGACCACCCTGTAATTCGTGCCACGACGCTTAGGATTCAGGAGCTCGTCTATTTTTGGACGTAATTGGTTATTGGTATAATCTTAAAGCCTGTTTATTTGCTTTTTTTAGGATTTTAAGGTTTCATCTGTCTTGAAAGAGAAGTCAGAGGTATAAATTAGCGAGGAAATGGGGCGCCAAAGTTTGTTGAATACCAAAACTTGGATGTCTTTGGAAACTTACAAATCTACGCCCTGTGATCAACGTTTAAAAGTTAAAATCAGATCAGAAAGGAATGTGTTTTAAATGGACCTAAAAGGTGCTGAGCCGAAAACAATATTCGATTGAAATTACTAAACGTGCAGAAAAATGTCAATTTCTTAATTTTAACGAGCACCTGATTTCAACACGTTTGTGAAATTAAATTTTGTGAAGGTGAATGTCTTCTGAATTATACGACGTCACTGTACTCGGAGTATGTTCTTCACATTGAAGAGAGTGAGAAAGAGACAGACAGGGAGAGAGAGAGAGAGAGAGAGAGAGAGAGAGAGAGAGAGAGAGAGAGAGAGAGAGAGAGAGAGAGAGAAAGAGAGAGAGGGAGAGAGAGAGAGAGAGAGAGAGAGAGAAAGAGAGAGAGAGGGAGAGAGAGAGAGAGAGAGAGAGAGAGAGAGGAGGGACGAGAGAGGAGGAGAAGGAAAACGATAGAAACGGAGAGAGAGAGTGTGTGTGTGGGGGGGGGGGGAGGAGACATAGAGATGTTGTGATGAAAAAGGAGAAAGAGATCGAGTGAGAGACAGAGATTGAGAGAGAGACACAGAGAGAGACAGAAAGAGACAGAAGTGGGGAAGAAGGGGGGTGGGGTGGAGAGGGAGAGAGAAAAGGTGAGAGCGAGAAAGCTTTGGAAGTAACCAAACTTTGTGGGCCATATTCTTGCTACTTTACCTCTGACACCAGGCGACCCCCGAGTCCTTTGATTGAAAATATCGCAACGTCTATTTATGATAAATGGATATTTTGACGAACGAAGAGGTGTAAAGATAATACGAATGACCCCATAAGGCCCAAATTTGACGAGCGCCCGATTGTCTCAACATTAGATTCCACTGCGTCGAGACACAATTTATATTGTTGGGAGGCCCCCTATTTCTGTTTTTTTCTCTTTTCTTTATTTCTGTTTTATCTTTAAAATCTTTTCTTTTCTTTCTGTCTTTCAGCTTCTGGAGGGAAACATCAGCACGAAGACCGATGTCGATTTCGAGAAAGACAATGACATCATGATGGGCGATCAACCAGCCCCGACGGAGAAAAAGAAGAAGGGAAAGAAGAACAAGAAGAGGAGGAAGGGCAAAGGAAAGAAGAGGAAAGGCAAGGGGAAGAGGAAAGGCAGGAAGAATAAGGGTGAGTATTTTTAACGCTTAAGAACGGTGTGCTTGTTTGTTTGAATGTTTGATTGTTTGTTTGTTGTGTGTTGTTGTGAAGGGACAAGAAGAGCAAGAAGGAGGAGAAGGGGCAGAGGAAAGAAGAGGGAAGAAAAGGGAAAGTAGAAGGGGATGAAGCAGAAAGTGAGTATTTGTAACGCTGAAAAGTGTTGGTTTGTGGGATGGTTGGTTGGTTGGTTGATTGTTTGTTTGTTTGTTTGTTAATTTTTTACTCAGTGTTTATTAGACTTTTTTGTTTGTTTGTTTGTTTGAGTAGAGAGACGCAAGTGGACACTTTAATGGCCATATTACAATGTTGGGAAACATTAAGACTGACAAAAGAACAGAGTGAAATAAAAGAAAAGTAGGACCAACAAGTGGCGCACTACAACCGCACAAGAAGATCATGATTATATTATCTGGTTGGCGAACCACTGTCTCAACATTAGTAAGCTACTTGTATGTGTCTGTAGAGGGTGTATATAGGTCTGTGAGTCTGTTCCGTATGCTTGTTTTGTACGTCCTATAGTTTGTTTTGCATGTCTCTACGTCTGTTCTACATGTCTGTCTAGTTTTATAATATGTGTGTATGTCTGTTACATGTCTGTATGTCTGCTTTTTTGTATGTACGTCATTTTTGCATGTCTGTATGTGGGAGTGAGAGAGGTTTGGAAATTGAAATTATGTTAAGTTGTATTAATCGTTCTGCTTTCTCAAGACTCCGTCAAGACTGACATTCTTCGCTCTGCAACCGCACGACTCTATGCATAGATATTCTTCTGTCTACTTTCACACGACTGTATAGATAGATAGATAGATAGATAGATAGATAGATAGATAGATAGATAGATAGATAGATAGATAGATAGATAGATAGATAGATAGATAGATAGATAGATA